ATTTAGTGGCTGTGTGGAGCTGGTTGTGGGAGAACTGTGGTCTGGGTTTGCTCCTCTGTAGCTGGAAGGAGGCTCCCCCAGGCCACACAGGAACTTTATGAAGCATCACTAAGTTACTAGAAGAACCGCAGATGAGCGCTGTTGTCATGTTTGCAGTTGTCTTTTAGGGAGTGAGTGCATCGTGTTACGTGTTTGACCCCATTAAATTTTTATCTGAAGGAAGAGCCCTTCAGCAGTGAAAGCATTTAGAAACAGTTCCGTGAGAGGTTTTGCCCTCAGAGCAGGCCGTGGGGCGTGGCTGGTCCCCAGCGCTGTTGCTTTCAGAGGTGTGGGTGTGAAGTCATAACCCCTCTCAGGTGGGGCAGGGGGTCCTAGCTGGTCCTAAGACAACCACAGACCCATCCTCCCATCTAGCTTGGCAGACAGGTCTCCTTCTGCCAGGGTGGTTCTCTTTGATAATGAGCTGGCATTTACTAGGGCTTTTGTTTGAAGAAATAATTTTATTGCTGTAAGAAAGCAGAATATGTCCTTGTGCAGAAGGATTTATTTAAAGTTACTGAATTAGTTGAAAATACTTTTTTTTTTTGGAGATAGGGTCTCTTCATTGTAGTTCAGGCTGGCCTTGAACTCACTATGTAATCCAGGCTGGGTCCAACCTTGAGGTGATCCTCCTGCCTCGGCCTCCTAAAAGCTGGGACTATAGGTGTATGGCCCCATGCCCAGTGAAAATGCTTTTTAAAAAATCTCAGTTTCTCATTAAGAAAGAGAAAAGAAAGAGGAGAGAAGAAAGAAGAGGGGGAAGGGAAAAGGGGGCTTAGCGGGGGCTCTAGCTTGGTGGTAGAGGGAACTTGCTGTGTATACCTGAGGCCCTGGGTCCCATCCCTAGCACCAGACTGAATTTCTGCCACCTTTGAAAACCATATTGTCTGATCTGAACCTTGGCTTCTCTCTTCAGGGCTGTGCTTTCCAGTCTGCCTGCCAGTTCACACCTAGGGTACCATCGTGATTCCCATGAGCACCCAAGTTTGTCTTCTCTGCTCCTGTCTAGTTCTTTCTGGACAGATGGGGAATCAGAAACCCCAGGCAGTAGGGGGCTGTGCTGGGTCACCCTCAGGGCTGCTCTGAGCCCTGCCCCTCGTGTGTCACCCTCTAGGCTCACACTGCCTTGTCCCCTCCAGGCGTGCTCATGTACCGGGACTACCCCTTGGAGCTGTTCATGGCCCAGTGCTACGGCAATGTGAGTGACCCGGGCAAGGGGCGCCAGATGCCTGTCCACTATGGCTGCAAGGAGCGCCACTTTGTCACCATCTCCTCTCCGCTGGCCACACAGATCCCTCAGGGTAAGGATGCATGCCGGAGCCCCATGCACAAAGACGCACGTCACATCCCTGGGCGGGGCCCAGCTTTTTTGGGTGGGCAGCACCCAGAACCTGGCCTACGCTCTGGACTTGCAAAACAGTTTTCAGTTAGAATCCTCCAGAGGAGTGCCCTGGTGTTGTCCCCACCCTGTTCAGCGGCCTTGAGCCAGATGGACAACACCCCATTTCCGGGACTCCTACCCGCCGCCCTGCCTGCTCACACACACGGCCAGCGTGTCCCGAATGTGCACCAGGATCCAGGCATGGTGCTTGTGCTTTGTTTTCTCATCTAATAGGACACTGGCCATGGCCATGGGAGTAAAGTTTTCTGCCTATTGTTGTTCTGTTATAAAGAGGGAACTGAAGGCAGAGGGAAGGGACTGCCTGGAGGGTCACACAGCAGTCAGGGAGGAGAGCAGGAACTTGAGTCATGGACTGTGGGAACCCAGAGCCCAAGTTCTCTCCCTGCCCCTTACCAGCCTCAGCCCTCAGAGCCACGCAGATCCCCAGAACCCACCCAGGCTCCCTGGGCCCCTTCGTGCAGAGGTGCTCAGGAAGCAGCCCCATAGGGGGCCAGGCCTGTGCCCGAACGGTGCAGCAGAGACCAAGGGATTGGACTCCTTGCTGCCTGTGGGGCCTGTAGCCTGGTCAGGGGTTCAGCCAGGGCAGCTCGGTGCTTCCACGGCCTCATGGCTGAGGCGCTTCAGTTTAGTGACCTGGGGAACAGAGGGCCATTGCAGCCTCCTGGGAGCCAGGTGGAAGTGTTTTTGCAGGAGGTGGCCTCAAGCTAAGGTGAGCAGAGTTTCCAAAGGCTGCCCCTGGCCTAACCTTCCATTTTCGGGCCCCCTGGGTCCCTCATTTGGCAAATGTACAGAGCCCCTGCTTTGTGACAGGTGTTGCTGTAGGATTAGTGAGCAAAAGAGACACAACTTTGGCCGAAGTGTGTGAGGGGTGGTTCATCCCCCAGAGAGTAGGGAAGCCTGGGAAACATCAGGAAGGTAACATTAAAGTACAGGCAGCTGCTCCGAGGCATAAGCGCCTGCCTGGTAAGCGCAATGTCCTGAGTTTGATTCCCGGTACCAAAAAAAAAGAAGTTCAGGCAGGAGGCGTGAAGGAGGCAGCAGGGCGGACACCTTGAGGCAGGTGTGTGCGCTTGACGTGTGTGATGGGCCCTAGGCGCCTGCTCTGAGTTGAGCAAGGAGAAGACTAGGGTGGACAGGCTCGGGGGTGTTCCTCTTGGTGCCTGGTGATAGCCAGCCTGAGCCCAGCTCTGGTTGTGGGGTGAGAGAGAATGGGGGTGATGTGTGTGTGTGTGTGTGTGTCTGCTCCTGCTCACTGCCCCCTCCTTTCCCTGCAGCTGTAGGGGCAGCCTACGCAGCCAAGCGAGCCAATGCCAACAGGATTGTCATCTGTTATTTCGGTGAGGGGGCAGCCAGTGAGGGGGATGCCCATGCCGGCTTCAACTTTGCTGCCACCCTTGAGTGCCCCATCATCTTCTTCTGCCGGAACAACGGCTACGCCATCTCCACGCCCACCTACGAGCAGTACCGCGGGGACGGCATTGGTAAGGGGCGCCCCTTCTCTTGCAGTGGCGTCTGTGAGCGGGAAGGGCCTAGTGGACAGGGGACTCGGTCTTGCTCTCCCTGCTTATTCCCCTCCATGAATTTTCTCCACCTGAGTTGTTGGACCTGGCCAGTCTCCTCTCTGTCCCTGCAGCGGCTCGAGGCCCTGGGTATGGCATCATGTCCATCCGCGTGGACGGCAACGACGTGTTCGCCGTGTACAACGCCACCAAGGAGGCCCGGCGGCGGGCTGTGGCGGAGAACCAGCCCTTCCTCATCGAAGCCATGACCTACAGGTGCCTGCCTCTCCCCACTGCTGCCCTCGGCTCTGATAGCCACTGTCCGTCTCTCACATGTCACCATCCCCAAACCGTGGCCTCATCACCCTGTACTGCTTCCCCTTCCTTGTTTTTGCTCCATTCATTTCCACCTCTTCCTACCTGGCTACTCCTCCCTCCATCCTGACCCTGACTTCAGGGTCCCCAGGCCGACCCACGCCCTCTCCTTGTGGCGCAGGATCGGGCATCACAGTACCAGTGACGATAGCTCGGCCTACCGCTCGGTGGACGAGGTAAATTACTGGGACAAGCAGGACCACCCCATCTCGAGGCTGAGGCACTACCTGGTGAGCCGCGGCTGGTGGGATGAGGAGCAAGAGAAGGCCTGGCGGAAGCAGTCTCGCAAGAAGGTAGGGCCTATGCTGGAGGGGCTGCTGCACAGGGAGAGCCCTGGGAGGATGGGGGTGCCGGGATCTGGTTGTCAGGCTGGGAAGCTCAAGTAACCCGGCGCTGTCCCCAGCTGCGGCCTGTGGAGCCAGGCTGCCTGGATCATGTCATCTTGGCTGCATCCTTGCTGTGCATCCTGGGAAAATTGTCTGCACGCTTGCTCACCCCTGAGTGCCCACTTGGCAAGGTGGTTGGAGGGTAAGGGGCTTAGTCCCTTGTGTGGTGAGAGTGTCTTGCCAGAGGCAGCAAGTTGCTCATCTTGGTCCCGGCTCTCTCCAGCTACTTCCTGGAGGGCGAGTCCCTTCTTTTCTCTATGCCCTTGTTTCTCATCTCAAGTTGCCTGCAACTTAGGGCTAGTGAGATGCTAAAGGAAGGAACCCACACGCTCAGAGTACCACCTGGTCCCTGTCAGGGATGGAGCTGCTGGTACTCGGGGCACTAGCATCACTGCTGCGCTCCAGTGGCTAACCCCCGGCTGAGGTTCCACAGGGAGGGCCGAGAGGGTGGCGGTGCAGTCTGCTGCCTCCCGCCCGCTCATGTTCTCCCAGGTGATGGAGGCCTTCGAGCAGGCTGAGCGGAAGCTGAAGCCCAACCCCAACCTGCTGTTCTCCGATGTGTACCAGGAGATGCCTGCCCAGCTGCGCAAGCAGCAGGAGTCTCTGGCCCGGCACCTGCAGACCTATGGGGAGCACTATCCCCTGGACCACTTTGACAAGTGAGGCACCAGCCATCCTGAGGGGTAGCTCTGCTCTGAATGGAGTTGGGAGGGCTGACAGGATGCTCCCATTTCTCTAGCCTAAAACAGCAGCCAGGGTGGCACCCCAAGCTGTAGCGGAGAGGCTCCTGCTCCCCGCCCATTACTCCAGGCTGCTATACGTGGGGGCCAGTGTTTCCGGTGTTGTTGAGGCTTGGTCCGCCCCCTACATCTGCTGTTACAGTGCCTTCTCCCAAGGGCTGGGCAAGGGCCCCTTGGACTAGAACCCCCTCCGCTGGCCGGACGGGCAGGCAGCAGAGTGAATAAACAGTGGCTCTGCATTTGGCTATTTACCTCCTCTGGTTTGTGTTTCCTGGAGTTTGGGGTCATGGTAGAGTCCAGCATGACTGATTTGGGACCCCAGCATCTCCACTTTAGATAAAAAAGGCCCAAACCATTGAGGTACCGCCTTCCCCTGGAAATGTCTGCTGCTTCAGCAGGTGGATGGGGTCAGAGACCCTCCAGAGATGGTCCCCTGCTCCTCTGTGGGACGGTGCTGGCCCCGCCCAGGAGGGGCAGTGCCTCATGGGAAGGTCAGGGCACAGCTGAGCCCTCTCAGTACCACTCCAGAGCCCCACAGACACAAAAACAACTCCAGGCCTCACAGTGGGAAGTGCATGTTTTTCAAAAACAAAACAAGACTGAAACAGTCTGCTGTTTTGTCCTGTCTGCCCTGTCCCTCCCCAGAGAGGGCTCAGGAGGTGCTCTTGCAGTCCTGTTCTAGGACCCCCGCCCTCCATCCAGGCCTGGAGGGAGGGGCTGGGCAGGCAGACGTCAGGGGCCCCGGCCTGCCTCCCCCGACTACCCATGAAGGTCAGCACTTGAGCTTGGGGCTCCGAAGTTGTTTCCAGAGCCGGATGGTGTCCTGGGGGCTGAGGGGTCGTACAAGCAGCAGGTCTCGAAGAACGCAGGGCTCCATGGTGTGGTCTGCTGGCCAGGCTGTGAGGAAGCCTGAGTGGCCCCGGGGTACCAGGCCCAGAGCACGGAAGCAGAGGCCAGTGTAGACGTCACCAAAAGGAAAGGGGGCCACACGGGCTGCTGCCTGCAGTAGCCAGGGAGCCAGGCGCCCCGCGATGACGTAGCCGCCTCCACTTGCATAGGCTGGGTAGTCACCTTCAAAGAAGGATCCAGGCACGTAGAAGGGCCCTCCAGGCTTCCGGAGAGGCTTGGCCTGGGTAAAGACCTCGCCTAGATAGAGGCTTCTTGCCCAGGTGGGTGGCAGGGCCCGCAGGTGGCCCAGCAGGGCAGGGATGTGCACAAAGGCGTCATCCTGAACTTGCAGGACGAAATTCACATCAGGGCAGTGGTGACCCACCCAGGTCAGTAGCAGCAGGTCTTTGAGTGTTTGGTTATAGAGGACATCAAGGAAGTCCCACAGCAGCAGGTCACTGTAGCGACGGCTCTCCCAGGTCACCAGTGCGCGTAGGTCAGGTCCCCCCTTGCCCACTGGGGATCCCAGCAAGAAGAGCAGCCTGATCCCAGGAGCTGCGCCGCCCCACGTCTCCCTTACAGCCTGGCGTTGTGCAAAACGTCCTGGTTCCGACTTGACAGCCAGCAGTAAGTAGGGGACATCAGTGTCGGAGCAGCTGGCCACCTGGCTGTCTTCACCTGCAGGCAGCCACTGCGGGAAGCTCCGGCAGGCGGCTGACAGCAAGAAGTGGCGGAGGTCTTCAGGGTAGGAGGCAAAGTCAGGGATCTCGGCGGCGGCGGCGGTACCCCACGCCTGGCAGCCTCCTGTCTCAGGGCCCTCACTGGGCAGGGTCCCCAGCCGCCACTGCTGCTGGTTCCAGTAAGCTGAGGGGAGCAGGCTAGTTTGGCCCAGGCGAGCGGAGAGGTTGGCGGGCAGGGTGGGCTCGGCACTGGCGGCGGTGGGGTCTGGCAGGGTGCCCCGGGGTTGTGGGTACGCCTTGACCCGGGACTCCGAGGTCCACTCGATGTACACTTTGAGGCCCAGGAGCGTGAGCAGTGCTGACAGGCAGAGCAGACACTTGGAGCAGCGCATGACCTGGCCCAGGGAGGGGGCTGCCGGGGGAGCTGCGAGGGAGCCAGGGAGGGCTTTGAGGTGCGGTGCGGGTGGGCCTTGGAGGGCCCCGCCGGACCCCAGCGTGCAGCCTCACTCCTGCAGCCTCAGCTTCCCCCAGAAACGCTGCTCTCAGTTCCATGCCCCAAGCAGCCCCCTCCCCCAGGACCCAAGGAGCCCCCATTCCTATCCCATTCTTTATCCACCTTCCCAGAAGCCCAGAAGGTCCGCCTATTGCACTTTACCCCACCGCCATTCTTGCCACCTCCTCTCCCCATTCATCCTGCTCCCCAGGAATCGGGATCACTGATCCCCAGCTCACAAGGTGAGCTCCTTTGGCTTCCTGGAAACCCAGCCCACCCCCACTCCCAGCAGCCCCACCCTAAGGTCTGGACGGTCAGGGATCCGCTTTGTAGTACCTCTGGGTCCGGCTCCCGCCAGCTCCCAGCTCCGGCGCCGCCGGGCCTCTGCTCAGGCCCTGCCTCGGCTCCCTCCCGTCGCAAGCTGCCAGCCCAGCCCGGCTGCCAGTCCAGAGGGGCGGGCAGGAGCGCGGGCGGGAGGGCCCCAGGGGCCGAGAGGGCCGGGGCGGGGCCGGGCTGGGGGGAGGGAGGCCGACCTGGGAGCGGGGCGGGCGCGGCGTGTTAGGACTGGTTTTCTCCAGAGACAGCGGGAGAGGTGAGGGGTGGCCACCGCACAGACGAGGACGGTCCGGGGACCTGGGGAAGAGCCTGAGGGAGGGTGAGGCCGAGGCAGGGCCTGAGCCATGCTGCCTGGTGTCAAAGTGACCAGGGAGAGGCCGAGCCCCACGGAGGAAGGACGGGGCTGGAGGCTGAGGGGCTGGCGCGCGGCCACAGCCAGGAGGCGTGAATGTGCTGAGTGGGGCTGGATCGGCTGCCAGAGATAGGGATGTTTGCTTGCGGTTGCTGCCCAGAGGCAGGATAGGGGCGCGAAGCTGGGACATCCGAGAGGGAGAGACAGCGCGGAGAACTGGGGGAGGCACCACGAAGAGAGGAGGGAAAGGGGCTGAACCGGGAGGGGACAGCCGAGAGGACCCGGCTGCCAGTGGAGGGGTGGGACGGGAGGCGTGAACGGGCAGCCCACGGAGCTCAGGGCCGGAGACGGAAAGGCAGGTGGAGGGAGTCAGAACCCCCATCCTGACCGGAGAGAGCCTAAGGGTTAGGCGAAGGGGAACCGAAAGGAGGGCAATAACGTTGGGGGCCACACCGGAAGTCCCCGAGCTGGGGCTCCCGGCCGGGGCTGTGGTTCCGCTGGGCCCCACCCCTCGCTCAGACTCCGGTAGCTCTCTCCAGCCCCCTGGGAGTGGAGAGGGCGTCTGCCTGTGTTTACTTCCCTACCCTCCCGGGGCTGCCTCTGTTGGGGCTGCACCAGCTGCCTGGGGAGACCCACAGGTTGGGACCTCCTGGGACCTGGGGTGTGACTTGGGCGGCCCACTGAGCCAGAACCGACCCCCTTCACCCCACCTGGTTTGGAGAGGGACTGTCCAGATCATGTCGGGAGCCCAGCCTGTCAGCTGCAGCTTATCCATCCAGCCCGGATTTCTGCTTTCCAAGTCTGAATAATGGAGCCCATGGGAACAGATGGAAGAAGCCAGTGGGGAAGAAGTGGTTGGTGAATGCTGATGGAATGAAAGCTAGAGTGGGGAGGACAGCCAGGGACTGGCAGGGCTGAGCCTGCCTCACCCCAGGGCCAGGGAAAGGGTCAGGGTGAGCTCTCCTGGCCCATCTCACTTCCTGCGTGGGTACAGAGGCTCTGGGCCAGGGTAGTACTGTCCCTCCTTGGGCCTTGGGAAGTCTCTCAGGGGACTGTTCGTGTCAGTCTGGGTCCAGTCAGGAGAGAGAAACCACACAGCAACTGGAACAGGGAACGTTCAACCCAAAGAGTAATGTGGTGCACGCCTGTAATCCTAGCACTAGGGAAGTGAAGCAGGAGGATCACAAATTCAAGTTCAGCCTGGGCAACTTAGGGAGATTGAGTTTTTTAAAAAAAACAAAACAAAAAAACGGGGTAGGGGAGAGTTGGGGATGAAAAAGGGCTGGGGATGGAGCTCAGTGGAAAGTGCCCCTGGGTTCAATCCTAGTACCACCACCCAAAAGAAAAAAAGAGATTACACTGTGAGATTGAGTAAGGAGGGATCCGTACTAAGATTTGTGGATCACACGTAACCGGTGGGTGAGTGGATGTGCAGACTGAAAGTGATTAATCATGGTGCTCTGTCTCCCTGATTAAGCCTCTGGATTCCTGCATCTGTAGTGTGCCAGGGCACTTCTGGTCCCTTGGACTCTTCAACTGTAGACTGCTGTTGGGTCCAGGTTGCAGTCAGCCAACCGAGTAACTGTTAAAATCACCCCCAGATGCACATGGCAAGTTGTTAAATCTGGAATGTCTAGTAATCACACCCATCCAGTGAATTTGGCCTGAGCTAGTGTTCCATCCACTCCTGCACGTATTTCCCAGGGTTCTGTCTACATATTAGTTTACAGTCTCCTTGTTCTTATAGTAAGTTTCTCCCTCCTGAGTCCTATTGGCCTCCGTTCCCGGGTATTTATGGGCCTGGTGGCAGCAGGGCATGCTTGAGTCTGAAGAACACGTGCCTCCTCTAAAGGTGAAGTGATCCTCACAAGGTGTGGAAGAACAGCAGGCTGGGACGCCCCTGGCACTGAGAAGGGATGCTCAGCCTAACTCGGGGGGTTTGAGGTCTTCTGTTTACTCTGGATCCAGCCAGATGACTCTATTCCAAAGAACTTCTGGTGCTATTAGTTCTCAGATTGCGGCTGGACAGACTCCAGCTTGTCACTGTCTATCCGTAGGCACTTACGAGCACCCCCAAGAATCCACCCAACACCCTGGTCTTTAGAAGTGTCTCTCCTGCCACAGCTGCTGGGCACAGGGCTCTCGGGGGCTCTGAGTCATGTACTTCAGCTGGCACCTCAAGATCAGCCACAGCTGGGCTGCAGTGCCACTGCATAGCGGGGACTGCCGGCCTCCCACTGTCCTGGACTGTGCTGGAGCCCAGGGGTGCACCCAAACCACCCCCAATTCCATCTCAGGAGACCGAGTCCTGGTGCACTCCAGGTACAAGTTCTGGATCAGTCTAGAGCCAATGAAGAGAGAAAGCCACACAGTAATGCAACGGAAATTTTAATATAGAGGGTTATTCAACAGTGGACTAGAATCCCAAGAGTTTATTGGTAAATGCCTCAGAAGTGGCTGGAAATCCAGCTGGGTTGCTGGGGAGCCTCATGCAGGGGCCATGGGACCACGAGCCTCTCCAGGACCTGTGCTGGGGAAGCCACATGCCCTGGAGCCCAAACCTGGGGAAGCTAGGGTGCACGGGCACAAAGCACAACGCCTTTGTCCTGGCATAGGTCCCCAGCATCCTTGGCTGGCAAAGGAAGTAAGTCCAAAGCCCCAGCTCTGTTTCCAGAGAGCAGCAGAAAAATGTTGAATTTGAAAGTGAAATCTAATAAATCAGTAACCGGCCACACCATGGGAGTTGGGGTGCTACTGGCATTTAGAGAGCAAGGGCGAAAGATGGAGGACAGGTGGAAGTGAGCTGGCCACTCCTGCACGGGGAGAAGCCGCTGCTGCGAAGTGCCAGCAGCACCTCGGGTCTGTCGGGGTCCCTGGGATCTTGGACGGTGTGGAGAAGCATGGAGGGGAGTGCAGCTCCTTGTCCCACCGACAGACAGCTCCAGAGGCAGGGGACGAGGGGTATGGAGAGGGCTGCCAGCCATGGGCAGCCAGCAGTTAAGACCCCAGCCTCATGCTGTCCTTCGCTGTCCAGCCCCCAAGCCTCATGCTGTCCCAGCCCCCAAGACCAATGCTGAATGAACCCCACCTCGGAAGGCAAAGAGTAGGCAGCCATCAGACACTCCACAGGGGTCGCCGCGACTCTCGGGCCAGAGGCTGGGCAGGGGCGGGGCCAGCTGTGTGCTGAGGCTGCTGCTCTGGCCCCTGCCTCAGGCCCTGGGCCCAGTCAGTCCCCACAACCTCACAGTTGGGCAGCATCTCCTCCACCAGGATCTGCGTGAGGCCTGGGAAGTCCACGGCGGGGAGGTCGGAGATGTCCAGTCTGCGGAGGTTTCTGCGAGGGGCAAGGAGGGCAGAAGGCTGACGTAAGAACAGTGGCCTCTTGCACATGCATGTGTGCACGTGCATGTGAGTGTGTAGAGGGTCTGGCCCTTAATTACAGACCCTAGCTTCCTAAGTTTTTTTTTGAGAGGGGATGCTGGGGATGCAAGCCAGGGTCTCATGTATGGTAGGCAAGTGTTCTACCACTGAGCTACATCCCCAGCTCCAAAGTAAAATCTATAGCTAAGATGAAAGCCACTTGAGTTACAAATATGTGCCTCTAGCTTCTGCTGTTCTGCAACAGTGTGTACTGTGGAGTCTTCACTGAAACAAAGAAAAACCAGGAGTCATTCATTCTCACTGACTTTCATCTGCCCTGCAGCTGGGAAGGAGGAAGGAGGAAGGAGGCAGCAGCTGCCCAACAGCAGCCCCCACCCGCCGGCACCCGTGCTGGGTGGGAGGGGCCCTGGGGCCCAGGCTGCCCTGTGTTCTCACGGGAGGTGGTGGAGGCAGGCGAGGCCCCGTTCCGTGATCCGGGGGCAGCCGGCCAGCGAGAGCTCCTGCAGCGAGCCGCCCAGCGGGTAGAGGCGACTGAGGCACCAGTCATCCACATGAGGACAGCGCTGCAGTGACAGGGACTGGAGCTCCTTCAGGGACACTGCAGGAGGACAGGGTGATCCCATGAAGACCTTTCTGGAGCCACCACCAAAGGGGAAGTCGGAGGCTTCCCGCCCCACCCCCAAGCCCTCTCACAGAGGTTGCCTAGGCCATGGTAGTTGATGGCACAGCCGCTGGCATCGATGGCCTCCACGGGCACCGCCTGGAACTTGGAGACCTCAGCAATGAAACGCTTCCACCCATCTGACCTGACCCACTCCTTATCTCGAAACCTGGAGAAGGGAGGGAGGGAGGGCAGGAGGGGGTGCCAGCAGGTGCCTGTCCCTCCCCAGCCTTCCACCTGCAAGCACCGTCCCAGCCCCTAGGACAGGGTACATCGGCCGGCTGGGGGCACTACGTGTATGCCACCGTGACAATCCCATCGCACACGGAGACAGAGCGTCTGAGAGATTATTGATAACTTAAGAGCAAAGAGCTAGGTGCACATGGCCTTGTCCATGGCCAACAGCGATAGGCCTTGTCACACCCCGTCCTGTTCTGAGGAGGCTGCTGGCAGAAGACGCTCAACTGGGGTGGGAGTTTTAATTGGAACAAACTCCAGGGGCAGGTAAAACCTGTGGGGGTTGTGTCTTTCTGAATAGAAGGGAAAAATAAAGGGGGAGAAAGCCAAGAAAGAGAATTGCAAGAAGGAAAAAGGGGAAAATAAAGGCAAAAAATATTTTTTGAGACAGGGTTCCATTGTATTGCCCACACTGGCCTTGAATTCCTGGGCTCAAGCAATCCCCCTGCTTCAGCCTCCCAAGTAGCTGGGACCACAGGTACGCACCACTATTCCTGGCTACTTTTACTGACCATATATGCTACGCTAGGTCTGTGTTTAGAATGAAAATCCCAGTTTTTACAGCAAACTTTATAGCTCGCTACAATTTACCATTACATTTTATAGATGACAGAAGTCCAGGAACAGGTCTCCTGCCCCATTCAGTGGCAGAGATGGGGGATCACAGGGAAGCCTGTGGGACGGCCGAGGCTGGTCCCAAACACGTGCGCCCCCCACCCTGTTATCAGAAACCTCTGCTGTCGTACTTGACTGCTCCTCCATGCCTCAGGATGAAGTAGGCTCCTGCAATATCTGGGCCATGTGTGTCCTGGACGCGAACGTAGGATCTGCCAAGAAAAACACAGAGAAGATGAGGCCATGGAACACCACACCCCTCCCCAGGCCCCAGTGCTGCTGAGGGCAGAGTCCAGGGCCACAGGCAGATGTGTGGGTGGGCCTGGCTGCCCATCTTTACTGAATGCCTGTGAATAGGCGTTTGCTGCGCACTGTACACACAGCAGTGACCGTGACAGGCAACTGTCTCTGCCCCTGTTGAGCCATATGACACGGAGGCAAATAACAAGCCAGGAAACAACTGCAAACTGCAAGCTACCAGTTCCACAAGAAAGCTGAGTGGGAGTGGCAGGATGACGAGGCTAATTCAATTTCACATTCAAAAATGCTTCTGTGAAGTGAGATTTAGACTTGATGGCAAGGAGCTGCCAGGTCAGAGGTTCAGAGCCTTGAATTAGGAAGGTCACATCGAGCTGGGCATGGTGGCGCACGCCTGTAATCTCAGCACTTGGGAGGCTGAGGCAGGAGGATCATTGCGAATTCGAGACCAGCCTGGGCTACAAAGTGAGCACAAGGCCAGCCTGAACTGCATAGCAAGACCCTGTCTTAAAAAAAAAAGAAGGCCACATCGGTGGGGTGCTGTGCCGGTGGAGGGGAGGGGCAGGCCTGGTAGGGGGTTCAGGGCTCAGTGGGGGGGCCAGATTTCAGGACCTGGAGAGCACCTCTTATTCTACTTGCAATCAGAGGATTTTGTTATGGTTTTTTTTTTTGGTCTTTTTGAGACAGGGTCTCGCTTTGCAGTTCAGGCTGGCCTTGAGCTCACTTTGTAGCCCAGACTGGTGTCGAACTCAAACTCGAAAGGATCCTCCTGCTTCAGCCTCCAAGTGCTGGGATTATAGGTGTGCGCCACCACACCCGGCATAATCAGAGGCTTTAAGCAGAGCTGCACTGTTTACTATTTTACTTTCGTTGGGAATACTGCAGTGCTGGCTGGGTGCATCTTCAGCCCTTATTTATTTATTTAGAGTCAGGATTTCACTAAGTTGCTAAGTTGCCTAGGTTGGGCTAAAACTTCCAAACTTCCTGCCTTAGCTTCCCAGAAAGCTGGGATTATGGGTGCCACTGTGCCTGTCCAAAATTTTCTTTATTTTTTAGTGGTGCTGGGTTTAAACTCTGGACTTCAATCATGCTAAGCAAGTGCTCTACCACTGAGTTAGACCCTGGCCCCTCTATTTTACTTTGTTAAGAATCCGCCAGCTGCTTTGTTGACTGTAGTAGAGAACAGGAAGTACAAGATCAGGAGATTACTATGGTAATATAACTTTAAGATAGAGGGGTGCAGAGCAGGGTTAATAAAGGTGGTGACAGTGGTCATACTAATATTCTAGAACTGATTAACAGGATATAGGCTGAGAAACCTGGAGAGGAATTACAGAGGATTCCTTTATTTATAGTATCTATTTATTTTTGAGATAGGGTCTCACTATGTAGTTCAGGGTGGCCTTGAACTCACTATGTAACCCAAGTTGATCTCAAACTCCCAGTGATCCTCCTGCCTCAGCCTCCTGAGCGCTGGGATTATAGGCATGCACCACTATGCCCAGCAGGAAGGATACCTTCACAACTGGGTGGGCAGTGGTCCCTGTTCCTAGGATGGGGAAAGCTTGAGAGTGAGTAGACTTTGTAGGGACAAATGCAGGTTTGCTTTCAGCCACATTAGATCTAAGATGCAAGCCTTCCCCCAGGTGGGGCTGGTGGCAGCAGGCCCCTATGTAAGCCGCAGCCCTTGTGAGCTGGGGACTAAGATGCAAGACTTAGCAAGCCTGGCAGTAAAAGCCACAGTGCTGCCCAAGAGTGGCAAGGCAGGAGCAGGGCTCTGGCAGAGTCTCCACAGGGTCTTGCAGACCTCAGGTTCTTACCCATTTTCCAGGTGCACCTTCTGCATCTGCTTCCGGAGCAAGTATTCCCTGAGAAACTCCACATCGTAGAAATGGTCAGACAGGAACTGCAGCAGCGTCCTTCTCTTCCTCTGATTGCCCTCTGGGGTCACCACTCCACTCAGATCACGGAAGCCTCTCCTACCCCCGTTCCATTTTGGAGGTACCAGGCGTGGGAACTGGGGAGGAGGAGGAGAAAGGACTGATTCTGGAGCTGGATCCCCTCAGTTCCCGTTCCATTAACCTCACTCCCCTGCTTCCTGCCAAATTCTTTTGGAATCTCTAGCTGGACATGGTGGTACACACCTGTGATCCCAGCACTTGGGAGGCTGAGGCACGAGGATCAAGTATGAGGCCAGCCTGGGCTATGTAGTGAGTTCAAGGTGAGCCTGAACTACAAAGCGGGACCCTGTTTCAAAAAATAAAATAAAACCTCCGAACTCTGGGCTGGGCAGTAGCTCAGGGGTGGAGCACCTGCTTGGTATGCGCCAGACCCTGAGCACCAAACAAGACTGCCAAATTCTGTCTTTGGGATTCCAAAAATTTCCCCATAATTTGCCCAGGGGTTATTAGGTTTCTTCTTAATCCTAAATTCCTCTTTGATTTAGCCAAACATTCTTGGTTTTCCCAAATTCTTTTCTTTTTGGTACTGGGCATCGAATTCAGGACCCTACCGCTCGCCAAGCAAGGCGCTGTGCCACTGAGCTATATTCCTGGCCTGGTTTTCCCAAATTCTTGAGGGCCAGGAATATAGCTCAGTGGCACAGTGCCTGCCTGATAAACGCAAGGTCCTGAGTTCAACTCCTGGTACCAAAAACCCCCCAAAACAACAAAAAACAACCCAAACCAAATTCTTCCTCTAATTTTTCCAAATCCTGATTTTTCTCTCAAAACTTCCATTATCTAATTTAATTTCCCACAAATTTGGCCCTTAGTTTTATTCAATTTTCTCTGGGGTCTTTCTGAGTGAGCCATTTCCTTCTTCCCAAATATAATTCTGAATATTATTGAGTTTTTTGGTAGTTGGTGCTGATGGTCAAACCCAGGGCCTTGTGTGTGACAGACAAATGCTCTACTGCTGAGTGACACTCCCAGCAGCCCCTTCCTTTAAATTTATTTAATATAAATAATGAATACTATGGACAGTACTCTTTGAAAGAACCATAAACCTGAAAACAAAATCTAAGGGGAGGACTCGAAAATGGAGCAGGGTGCTTCCAGGAAAAGCCCCCAAATTCTTCAGTCTCTTTTCCGAGTCTCCTCTTCATTTGCCCCCAAATTCTTTGCTTTAACCAAATTCATTCTCATTTCCCCCAGATTTTCCTTGTTTATTTGTTTGAGACAAGGTCTGCTGTGTAGTTCAGGCTTACTTCAAACTTGCCACCAATCTGTCTCCATCTGAGTGCTGGGATTACAGGTGTGTACCACCTCAAACTTCTTAAACTTAATTTCTTTAATTTTCCCTAAATTCATTCCTTGGCTTCACCCAAATTCTCCTTCTGGTGACAAAAGTTTAAGCCTCTCGGCAACACAATTTCTCTGCAGTCATAAAGCATTGCACTAAACTGGTCAGAAACAACACTAGATAAAATATAAGACCTATTCATCCCTCCAAATGAGCCCTGATCCATCTCAAATAGTTAATGTATGTAGATATTTTTATCTAAACGAAAGGCATTTCTGTGAGACCAGAATACACGAGCTTGTCGATTTGCAACTCTTTTTTTTTTTTTTGGTCTTTTTGAGACAGGGTCTCGCTATGCAGTTCAGGCTGGCCTTAAACTCATTTTGTAGCCCAAGCTGGCCTCGAACTCGAAACGATCCTCCTGCCTCATCCTCCCCAGTGCTGGGATTACAGGCATGCGCCACCACGCCCGGCTCTCTTTTTCTTTTTTGAAACAGAATCTCACTGTGAAGTTTAGGCTGGCCTCGAACTCGCAGCGGTTCTCCTGCCTCAGTCTCCCCAGGGCTGGGATCACAGGCTTGTGCCATCACACCCGGCTTGATTTGCAACTTTGATGCACAATTTTAGTTACAATGCAGATGTTCCCGGAATATTAACAAGGAATAAGAATTGCGGAAACGCATATCAAAGATGTCTCCATTTGCTACTTTTCCCCATGTCTTCAATACATTATAAAAAACCTTAATCTCTCACCCTGATGTCCGCAAGTCTTTCTTGGAACTCGCCCACTGTCCCTTTTCTTTTATTTATTTACTTTGAAGACACAGTCTCACTATGGAGCCCAGGCTGACCTTGAACTCTTGGTAATCCTGTCTCAGCCTCCCAGGTGCTGGGATTACAGGGGTTCACCACCACACCCAGCTCGTCCACTGTCTCTTTTAGTGTATCAATAAACTCATCTCCCCTCTCCCGCCTCTCTGTTTGTTTGCTTACGACTGGGTTTCACTAGGTAGCTCCGGTGGGCCTTGAGCTCATTAGGTATCCCAGCACACAGGATGCTGAGGCAGGAGGATGGCCGTGAGTTCAAGGCCAGCTTGGGCTACATAGTTCCTTTTTTTTTTTTTTTGGTTTTTCTCCGGTACCGGGAACCGAACTCACGACCTTGCGCTTGCCAGGCAGGCGCTTTTGCCGCTGAGCTAAAT